ATCATCACCCGCACTCTAAAAACCTCCATCATCACCAGCACTCTAAAAACCTCCATCATCACCCGCACTCTAAAAACCTCCATCATCACCTGCACTCTAAAAACCTCCATCATCACCAGCACTCTAAAGCCCTCCTTCATCACCCGCACTCTAAAAACCTCCATCATCACCAGCACTCTAAAAAACTCCATCATCACCCGCACTCTAAAAACCTCCATCATCACCCGCACTCTAAAAACCTCCATCATCACCTGCACTCCAAAAAACTCCATCATCACCCGCTAGGCCAGGATGACCCATTCAATGGCAAAAATGAACCGCTTATTGGACAATGGCCGTCACAATTCTCCGAGTGCGCGCATTCTGTGATTTTTGCATTAAAATTCTCACAAATAACTTCACTTAGAAGAACCGTTCACAAATAATATTATATAATAGTTTTGAATAATGTGTATGATTCAGTAAACGTCTTCCAGGCTCAATCATAATTAACCCTCCTAGTTTAATCAGGTATTACTATTCACAGGTTCAAACCATGCCACTAGCAGTCTGGACAATAACAATTCGGAAAAAAAATCGAGTTTTTAAAAATAATTTTGTATTCCTGCGAAATTAATTTATTTTTTAGAGTTTGTCTTGGAACACTGACAGCATAAACTTTCAATATCGAAATCACGTGTATTTCACGCTGAAAATCCAAAACAATCTAAATTACGTACTATGAGCTGCGCGTTCTTAGCCAATAACAGAAATACTGTGAAAACAAACTTCAATACAAGACTAAGCGATACTTCTGATGCTATGAGATCTTTTTTGAATGCAGGAATGTAAAAGAATTGAAAAGTGCAAAATTTCACAGTTAAAGTCGATAAGAAACGAAAGTTAAAGAATAAAATATGCACTCAGGATTTTTGAACTTGGCTTCTGAAGACATTTGGTGCAAATAGCGACTCGATACAAATATACCTTAGCGTACTCAAAACTTGATATAAGGACTTTCAATTACTTTGAACAAAACTAAGCTATCATAGTTCAAAATAAAAAACAGTTAGAATTATAAGAACTCTTATAATAATTACATAATTATCGAAATACGACCGTTGGCTTTTGGGTTAGATGCTAAATATGCCGGTAATATCCTGATGAAAATAAAGCATATGACTCCGGGCCGGTAATGTCAACCAGTGATCGTGTGTGGTGCAAATTGTCCGATTCATCATTGCGATGACATTGAGAGCGCTAAATTTCTTAAATCGTGCACATCAAGAGTATTTGGCTCCGCTTTACTATGTGATATCCAAACCCACGACTTCCTCTGTTGTCAGGCGGCCAAATTAAGCACTATGCACCTGACTGATTATAAATTTATACCTGAGGACAGGGATTCGTTGACTAAATGTGTGAGGGATAAGTAGGACACCATCTGTCTAGAGAACTTTTCTTGATATGGGGTGGTAATGACTAATGCATCAGTTATATTAGTGCTATAATACTAAGACGTCAACCGTTAGGTTGGAGTAGCTCTAACTCGAATTACATGACGGCGTACATGTCAGTTGATGGAGCCTTACTAAGGTTACCAGCCCTTCAATAGAATCACGACTTCCGCCCACTGCTGAAGTCTTGATCGCGTGATTTATCACGTGATGTTTTCCCTGCCGACTCAGGTCAAGGACTTTTCGATCAAACTCTACCACGTCCAGTGATTCTTACATCGCACTAACAGATTATCTAACATTAGAATATAATTATAATGAATAGAATGAGACGCCTGATTGACACTGGATACAGTCGAACTCGAGAATTATTTCAAATCTGGCCCGGCCTCAGCACGTACTAACCGCGCACGCAAGAAGTCGTGAGTTGGATTAGAAAAAGTACAATGTGAATGAGGTACAATCTGCACTGGGTAGTGTGAGGTACAATCTGCACTGGGTAGCGTGAGGTACAATCTGCACTGGGTAGCGTGAGGTATAATCTGCACTGGGTAATCTGCACTGGGTAGCGTGAGGTACAATCTGCACTGGGTAGCGTGAGGTACAATCTGCACTGGGTAGCGTGAGGTACACTCTGCACTGGGTAGCGTGAGGTGCAGAGGGTGTGGGTAGCCCCGGTGATTGCGTGGGCACGGATCCGTCTTTTAATGGGGAGCTCCTGATCAGTTAACAGGTCAATAATCGTGGAAATTATGTACGGATCATCGGCGGCCATTCAGTGGCCGACGGTCGGCCAGCCCTGAGGACGCCGCTTTATGGAATGGCTTGCATTTCAGTGGCTGGTTATGGTCCAAACGACGTTGTTTAGGTCATTATTAATGTTTGTCTTCGTAGCGTGTTGGATCACATTTTTCAACTCTTTTCAACTTTTCAACAACGCAATAAAACTCATTGATAACAGTAAAATAATGCATTCAAATCAAGCTAAATCTTCCAATCGAAGGTGAATATATATATGCACGATATTTGCGGCGACATGCAGCTGAAGAAACTTTATAAAAATATTAGCAAACTCGAATTGAATACTTGTAGTTGTATAAAATTGTATAGGACTCAGTGCTTAGTCAGAGTTTCTGCTGAGCCAAATAACATTCAGCCGATAATAATAAATAAATAAGTAATAATGTTAACATAATATTTAGCACAGAGATATTTAATGAGAGCAGGTGCTCGGTAACACAGCTAATGAGGCACTGAAGGCCTCGCACCTCTTTAAAGAGAGACTCGCGCCTCTGTAAGTAGTGCCTCATGCCACTTTAAGAAGTGCCTCAAGCCTCTTTAGAAAGGGCCTCGTGCTTCTTTAAGAAGAGCCTCGCACCTCTTTAAACAGAGCCTCGCTTCTCTTTAAGAAGAGTCTCGCACTTCTTTAAAGCGAGCCTCAAGCATTTTTAAGCAAAGCCTCCAACCTCTTTAAGTAGAGCCTCACGCATTTTTAAGAAGAGCCTCACGCCTCTTTAAGATGAGCCTCACGTCTCTTTAAGAAGAGCCTAACGCCTCTTTAAGAATAACCTCGCTCCTCTTCAAGAAGAGGCTTAAAGCCTCTTGGTTTAGACCCGTGCAGGATGTCGCCAGAATATGCCCGGATGAAGCGGTCTTGGGCAAGTCAACATCGTTAGCGGCGCCAGACTGGAAAATGACGCTCAGCTTCCCCGCACACGATGACTCAATTCAGGCCAAATTTCCTTGCCGTTTTAGGCAAAGCTGCTCAGCGACGATTTTTTTTTGCCTCCCCGCGAGGCACATGAGAAATGACTACAAATTTCTGGTGATAATTCAATTCCTAAGAATTCATAAAAATAGCAGACAATTCCTCAAAAAAGAAAGTAGAATATTTTTCTTTATTTAGAGGGAGTCTTGATCCAATGTATGAAAGTATTCATTGTCGGTGAAAAAGCTGATCGTCTGAGCCGTACTATCACTATAAAGTATAACGCGCAGGCTCCCAATTACACGTAGCGTTCATATTTTAAGTGCAAGTAGCGGCCTATCGCACACATAGCGGCCTAAGCATGTGTTGTCGGGGAAACTAACGTAAGCCCGACCGTAACATACGGGATCGTCACGTAACTTGTAGTTAGTAAGTAACGATAGTCCATTCTTCTCATCTCCGTCAGTCAATCACTAGCAAGCGTCCATATCACATGTCATACTAATTCAGTCTGTGTGTAGTCATTCATGTGCCTGCCAATACTTCATTGTCCGTCATGCGTAAATAAACCATTCTAAACCATCGCCGACTCATAGAACTTGAGTTAATTCCATTGTATAGCAAGACCTGTACCATCCGCCACATGTGTAGCGACAGATTTATCGTCTGTGATTGGTGGGTTAAACTAGAAAAAACCGTCAGTGATTGGCTGGCGAAGTTACAAACGCGTGCCTATTTCTGATCGTTCAGCCCCAGATCACTATAATCAAATAATCTAATAAAATAAAGATAGACAATATAATTATGTATACAAATATACAATATAATTTTGTATTAATATATACAATAGAATAAAATAAAGATACAGTGCCAGTACTCACACGATGCCATCTGTAGCTGGCACTGCTGGCGGTCCAGAGGGAAGAGCTTCAGGTCCATAGGGCACGACAGCGTCAGGGAGATCCTGGTGGCACAAGTGAATTTATCGTCAATTATTCAGCACCTCTGAATTTAATATTCATCTTGAACCTCAGGAAATTATATCAAAATAAAATTAAATTGAATTTTAATCAAAAATTCCAGCGGAGCTAATTAGTTCTGAATATTAATAAAATTTACTAAATTGGTACAAAAAATTTACGGACATAGGTAAAGAATTGATGCGCATGAAGAATTGATACAAAGAAATAAATGTTTTGATGATGTGAAAGAGATGATGTGAAAGAGATGATGTAAAACAGATGATGTGAAACAGATGTTGTGAAACAGATGATGTGGAAGAGATGCAGTTAAACAGGTGATGTGAAAGTGAAAGAGATGTTGTGAAACAGATGAAGTGAAACAGCTGATGTGAAACAGATAATGTGAAAAAGATGATGTGGAACAGATGATGTGAAACAGATGATGTACAACAGATGATGTGAAAGAGATTATGTGAAACATGATGTGAAACAGATAATGTGAAAAAGATGATGTGGAACAGATGATGTGAAAAAGATGATGTGGAACAGATGATGTGAAACAGATGATGTACAACAGATGATGTGAAAGAGATTATGTGAAACAGATGATGTGAAACAGATAATATGAGAAGTAAAATATTAAAAAGATAGTATGGAACATAATGTGAAACAGATATTCCTCTAACCTGATGCTGTAGAGAACGCCGCCATCGGGGAATATCCTGATGTAGAGGTTAGGCAAGATGATGTTATGGAAGTGTCCGTCCTTCTCGTTCTTGAAGAACAAGTCGGGCATCCAGACCATGTTTGTGTCCGTCAGAGTTAGGTACTGGATGCGACCTGCGGGCCACAACGACACATGTCACTCCATAACATTCATCACTTATCGTTAATGAGGATAATGAGAGTTTATTTCAATGAGAAAGATGATTTGATCAGAAATAAGGATACAATAAAATAAGATGAATTACATGAAATATCCAATACGTACTATACGAAAAAGGTACAATACAAAAAATGAATGGTTCCTGTGTTATTCAAATAAGAACACAATTGTGTTCTTATTACAATTATTCGCCTTTGCTGAGCGAAAATGGGTCAGGATGACCCATTTTTTCCAGTGGGAAGAAGTGCATCGATGCTAGGGTAAAGTGTCCAATTTTATTGTGTGCGAACTGCAGTTTGTGATCAACTGTATGCAACGCTTCGAACATTGAAATGAGTAAGTGATGAAGAAAATATTTCTATGTAGTCGCAATGTCCAGCGGAGTGTGATTTGAAAAGTGTGTTAATTGTATTACAAATAAAATAATGAGTAATAATATGCGATTGAAAATAACTTTTTAAAGACAACACTTATAAGTAGGTCAGTCTCCCCGATGTTACACATGTCAATATTAATTTTTTTATTATTTATTCTTTCAATCGGTTCACGCATTGTCTCCGATTTTACGCAAGGGTGCAGAATTTCAGATCGATTGGAGAGGTTGAAGTGTGTTAAACATCAATTATAAGATTTGCAGCAAACAAACAAACAACAAGAAGTGTTGTTAAAGAGAAGTGTTGTAAAATATTCATGTTAGATGTGATGAATTATATATTATATTCATATTATACACCCACCCGCCATGCTGTCGAACTTGAGTCTGGAGTCCAGCCACTGCTCCCTGAAGGTGATCTGAATGCTGTACTCCTGCACAGTGAATTGTCTTAGACAACATAATTATTTTGTAATTAAATTCCAGATAAACAATAGGCGTGAAACATCGATTGCGAATTTCGTGCAATTGCTGGTATTTTAAACTCAAAAAATAGCAATTCAAGTGGTACATTCGAAACAAAATTTCCTGATATTCGCATAAAAATTATAATTTACCTTACAATTAAAATGGTTTACTAATTATTCCGCAAAAAATGACATCATCGAGATATTCTCATCGAAAAAACAGTGATGCTCCAGAGACGCAACACTCACCATCCTGACGTCAGAAATGGTCTGCACATTGCGGATCATGATGTTGATGTGAACCTCCGTCGGACCTGGGGGTACAATGACACTGTCATGTCAAATACAATGACACTGTCATGTCATATACGATGACACTGTCATGTCATATACGATGACACTGTCATGTCATATACGATGACACTGTCATGTCATATGCAATGACACTGTCATGTCAAATGCAATGACACTGTCATGTCAAATACAATGACACTGTCATGTCGAATACAATGACATTGTCATGTCATGCAATGACACTGTCATGTCATATACAATGACACTGTCATGTCAAATACAATGACACTGTCATGTCATATACAATGACACTGTCATGTCAAATACAATGACACTGTCATGTCATATACAATGACACTGTCATGTCATATACAATGACATTGTCATGTCATGCAATGACACTGTCATGTCATATGCAATGACACTGTCATGTCACTGTCTCTTATACACATCTAGATGTGTATAAGAGACAGGTCATGTCATATACAATGACACTGTCATGTCATATACAATGACACTGTCATGTCATATACAATGACATTGTCATGTCATACAATGACACTGTCATGTCATATACAATGACACTGTCATGTCGAATACAATGACATTGTCATGTCATGCAATGACATTGTCATGTCATATACAATGACACTGTCATGAAAATACAACGACGAAATGATGCATAAAAAATCATTAAAGTCAGTTAACCGATGACGAGCTACCAGATACATGTAAAAGGCAAAAATAATTGGTAATTAAAATCATAAACAGTCTAATTTTAATGAATTTTGATTTAAAATTTTATCCTGCTCGAACTAAACCCAGAAAACGCGTTTGCCCGGCACTTTACAGTAACAGTTTAAATGTTAGGCATCACATCACCTGATGTAAGGAGCTCATATCTTGCAACAAATTCTTCAAAACGTAATAACTTACAATTATTGAATTGTCGATCAGGCTCCTGACGTTTAAAAAACGTCTATTAAACGTTATTTACACGAAACCAACTCATAATCACATGTAACGCATATTTTTAAAATTAATTAGCTGCACATATTTGCAGCCCGGCCAACAAAAATCTTTCGTTTAATAACCTAACGCTTATTTACCGTTGTTTCCACGTCATTTCCACACTTATGCTCACCAGTATCGTTGACGCCAGCGGGCCTAATCCGCTTGTCGTAGTTGTCGGGGCCGATGATGTTGTCCAGGATTAATTTCTCCATTTGTCGTAGGTTTGAACTCGAGATGTCCTTCGAGTGGCTGTAACATTAATCTCTTAGCATCAAGATGCAACTGACGTGGTATCATTTGTATGCCATAGAACGCAATTAGGCTAAGAAAGAGGGATTTTAAAGTTATTTAAAGAGAAATTTTTATGTTGCTCTCCATGTCTAGTTAGTCGCAAACGGCAACTAAGCATAATTTAATTTTTCTAATAGCGCTAAAGTTATACAATGAATCCTCACTATATTACTTTAGACTGTTACATCAGGATATCAGTTTTGTAGAAAGTCTTGTATGGCATATCGATAAAGATGCTATTTATATCGAGTAACACACGAATCGCATCAAATAACTTATCAGTAGAGTCAAGCTAACATTTTTCTAGTAAACTCGATCACCCTCAGTTAATAACATCTTTTCAATGGTCAATTACCAAAAGTTTTGAATAGCGACAGCCCACGGCCACGCTTATAGGGACACCTATATTCTATACTTCGATGCCTTCTCCCAAGGGACATCCAGGGGAACATTAAAATGGGTTTCGAACCCCCGTCTTGGCTGCGCCTATCTTGCTGCCACTGGTAATCCTGGGCTATTGTGGCTTAGACTTACAATAAATGTTCCAGAAAGACGAACAAACGAGAAACTTTCTTCCTATGTTCAGGTAATCAAGTTCCATGAACCAGAGGTTTGTCAAGACCCATTGAACTGTTTCCAATCTAGCGAAAATGTTGTGTTCAGGACATATATAGAGATTTGGTAAGACCTCGCGAAATAAGAATCTAATCTAGCGAAAATGTTGTATTTACAACATACAACATCCCCCGTATTATTAAACAATAGCCCCCGTATTCTTATTCTATTTCCCATAAACAGTGCATGATCGATACTAAATAATTACTATTAATCGCTTCTATAATCCGTTCACCACCGGACCTGTACTAAGCAACAAATAAATCAGGCATATTGCCTATCCTTCTCTGATCCTCAATGAATTTTGATTTAAATTTAGCAATAAACTTATGAGAGTTGTGCCCGGGCTGCTGTTTTGTTTGCCGTGTTTCCCAAACCATTTTCAATATTGGCAAAGATTAAATATATCGTGGCGATCGTCCAAAAGTTGATCTTAAACCCACATTTTGTCTCGGAGGATTTTTTTTAAAGAAATAATTATGATATCATAAGGGTTTAAGATGTCTTATCTCGGTGATTGAAATATAATTGATTTATGGTATCGATATAAATAAATGACAACCATGATTTACATAAATTATTTTAATACCATTAGGGCTTGAGATGTCTGGTATTTGTGCGTTTGGGATATACTCAAGTTAATTCTGTAGTGATTTTAATATATTACAATCGGGATTTACTTACTTGGGTTCGGCGAGCGCCATGGGGTTGCTGTAGGAAAATTAAAATACAGCAATTAAAACACATTTTTTGCAAAAAATCTATGATTTAATATAAATTAAGTTTCACATAAATGCAGATCAATTTAAAATGATAATAATACAATTTTTCCTTCACGCTCTGCACATGCTTAGTATGGCGTTCTGCTAAATTTACACAATTAAAAAATATTAGGAAATAATTCACAGTTCAAACTTGAGAAGTGAATGATTACATGAAATACATGTCCGTACAATCAGTATAATCACTAACACACTCATCTTCAGTAGCAGTTAAAATTAATTAGAAATATCACGTTTAAACACAACTCCGACACAGCACACAGCTCAACGTCTCACTGGTGAATAATTGCCGGCATGATGGCTTAACGTCTCATTATACCAGGGGTTATTTCATCTCAATTGGCCTCACTAAGCCTCATTCTGCCACATTCAGCCTATATCAGTTACATTCTTATGCATTCTGTCTCCCTCAGCCTCACTTTGCTTCATTCTTCTTCACTTTATGACACTTTGCCTCCCTCTGCCTCACTCTGTCTCCGTTAGCATCACACTGCCTCATATTTCCATAATTTATCATAGTCTACCTCCCAATGCTTCACACTGTCTCACTATGTTTCACTTTGCCTCACTCTGCCTCATTCTGCATCACTCATCATCACTCTGCCTCACTCAGCATCGCTCAGTTTCACTCTGCCTCACTCAGCATCGCTCAGCTTCACTCTGCCTCACTCAGCATTGCTCAGCTTCACTCTGCCTCACTCAGCATCACTCAGCTTCACTCTGCCTCACTCAGCATCACTCAGCTTCACTCTGCCTCACTCAGCATCGCTCAGCTTCACTCTGCCTCACTCAGCATCACTCAGCTTCACTCTGCCTCACTCAGCATCACTCAGCTTCACTCTGCCTCACTCACCATCACTCAGCTTCACTCTGTCTCACTCAGCATCGCTCAGCTTCACTCTGCCTCACTCAGCTTCACTCTGCCTCACCTGGAGACGAAGCAGAGCACCGCCAGCAGCAATATCCTCGTCGTGTGCCTCATGAGGCAGCCTCCGCCTCCCCAGCTCCCCTTCACTCTCCCCACCACTCCTCGCCTCCCTCTCACTAACTCCTCTTCACTTCTAGAGTCTCGAGAGATGCTAGAGACTCTAGAGATGCTAGAGTCTCTAGAGATGCTAGACACTCTTGAGATGCTAGAGACTCTTGAGATGCTAGAGACTCTTGAGAACAATCTCGCTTCCTCTAGAGGAGGAACAGCCTCGATTGTGTCCATTGTGGCCCCGGCAGTTGGGGATCTTGCCTCACTTAGGGGGAATTTAGCCGCACTTAGGGGGAATCTTGCCTTGCCTAGGGGGAATCTTGCCGCACTTAGGGGGAATCTTGCCTCACTTAGAGGGAATCTTGCCTTGCTTAGGGGTATCTTGCCTCACTTAGGGGGAATCTTGCCTCACTTAGGGGGAATCTTGCGTCACTTAGGGGGAATCTCGCCTTGCTTAGGGGGATCTCGCCTTGCTTAGGATGAATCTCGATCCATTCTTTGGGATACTAGCCTCGAGGAGATGGGGAGTGGTGGGGTTTGGAGTCTGAAGCTTAGGAGTTTCTGAGTGCGTTGGTCGGGACTTGTGTATGTGAACAGTTGTGTTGTCTTCACGGCATCTGTGGGTAATACAGTTACTGGTTATTAGTGACGGGATAGTTACTGATCATTTGTAACTGGGCAGTTACTGGTTATTAGTGACGGGATAGTTACTGATCATTTGTAA